AAAAAAAAAAAAATATATATATATATATATATATATATATATATATAGAGATTATAAAACCACACACAAACAGACCAAAGTACCAGCACAAACGCGCACACGCACACACACACACACACACACACACACAATGTATATGTGCTTTCCGAGACTCTCCATAGGCGTAATGGTTTTTATACTGTTCTAATCAAATCTTCTATTGCCTAACCCCACCCTACACTGAGAACATTGTACTGATTACTCAGCCATTATTGGAAATTTTCAGCTGCTGAAAATATGGGCAAAGTATGAGAAAAATATACCTGTTCACAGAGAACTTCTGCAAAAGCATCAATAACTAAAAGGTTTTGCAACAAGTTCGCCAACAAAAGAATGACACCTTGTAACACTCCGCATATTATGATGTGGAAAGTACAAAAACAATATGGGAGAGACGCTCACTTTACCCAACAAAGGAAAAAGATATAAATCACAGACACACAAAATCCGTATCAAATACCCAGTGTATTATACAAATAGATCAAATATACATAAAGCACAAAAAATGAGTGTGTGATGAGTGTATGGTAATGTAGATTGTCTTTGCGTCCGTGAAAACTATATACAAGATTTGAATCTCTCACCGGTGGAAGATCATGAATGAACATCCTAGAGCAGATCCAAAGTAGTGACCGAAACTGTTAAACTCCTCCTTGGTAAGTAATCCAATGTCCAGAAAAATAAACACACACAAAAAAAAAACTCCACAAGAGAGGCGGCCATAAAAATACAAAAACAGTTCGGTAAGTATTCCACAAACGTTTGAAGACCTGGGCAAAATAGAAATGAACAGAGTGAGCACCAACCCTCTCGAAAGCCGGTGAGCCGGCTACCTATATAGTAAAACAAACTTCCTTGTTATCATCACGTGAAAGTTTGTGATGCCAGGTCACGCCTGAAATCTCGCACGACTTCTCATCTGGGGCAAATACACACACATATATAGAGGCAACAATACAGAAAACTGGGTGATAATTAGATTAAAACGATCAACAATACATTAGTGTTAATCAACAAGCATATACATAAATCACCCCTTATGTGGCATTGCTACATAAATCCCCTCCCCCAGCCATCGGCATCGGAGGAGAGCGACCATACCAGCGTTTCTGGTTTACCACATTAACATTGTCTGTTTTAGGTGGGTTGCTCCAGCGAATGGTGTAATTTATTGGCCCCATTCTTTTTATTACTTCTGCTGGTCCCTCCCACTTGGGCGCTAGCTTGGCAGAGTATGTATCTGAGGCAGACGAGACAGGATGAATCCTCATCCAGACAAGATCTCCCGGCTGAAATTGCAAATCTTTCCTCCGGTAATTATAATATCTTGCTTGTCTGGCCTTTTGCACATCCACTCTACGTTTTACCTCCTCTGCCATCCTGGTTTGTCTTTTGACGAGATTATAGGCTGTTTGATCCGGTGTGGGGGGTTTGTGAATGAATCTTTCCAGGGGTCCCTGAAGTTGGCGGCCAATCATTAATTCAGCAGGAGTCTTGCTGTTGGTCTCTTGATAAGCGGAATTAATGGCGAAGCGGAACTCAGGTAACCAATGATCCCATAAGTGATGATATTGCCCCAGATACGATGCAGTCATGGTTTTTAATGTTCGGTTTATTCTCTCTGTCAGATTTGTCTGAGGATGATAACTTGTGGTGAGTTTCTGGATGCTTCCCCAGGTCTTACACAATTTGGACAGCATTTTAGAGGTAAACTGAGAACCCCGGTCCGACACAAGATACTTTGGAATGCCCCATCGGATGAACACTTCCTCTCTAAGTATCCTCACGATTTTTGGTGTCTTACTGTCAAGTAGGGGGAACAATTCTACCCATTTAGAGTAGTAATCTACTACGACCAGCAGTAAGCGTTTCGTTTCTTGCTGCATGGAAAAGGTCCCATAAGGTCCACCCCCATTATTTGACCAGGTTCTGTGACTTGTGTTGATTGTAGCATACCACTGGGTTTACAATTGTCATGTTTGTATTTTTGACAGATTTCACATCCCTTGACGTAACTCCAGACGTCAGCACACACAGTCGGCCACCAAGCCACCTCTAACAGCCTCAACAGAGTCTTTAGTCTGCCCAGATGTCCACCCATTGGGTTGTCATGGAAGTAATGCAGAAATCCAGATATTAAAGTTTGAGGGACAACCAACTGAAATGTATCCCCATTCTTCATTGGAACTTGCCGATATAAGAATCCCTGATGTTCTTCAAAGGTAATTTGCTGGTCTTTTACTTTCCTGGTTTTAGGTTCTGATTTCAGCCGACTGACCGTTTCGTCGCTGTTTTGGGCTTGTGTTATTTCAGCAAGTGCGTGGGGAATGTCTGAAGAATGTTTAGCTGGTGTAACCGCCAGACAAGGTGCTGCTTCTTCCTTTACAGACCCAGGGGCCCTAGACAGCGCGTCAGGTCCTTGGTTAAGGCAGCCCTTCCAATGGTGGACTCGAAATTCAAACTGCTGCAGTCGAAGGGTCCAACGGGTCAGACGAGAGCTGGTCTTGGGGCTGTTAAATACACAGGCTAAGGCAGCATGGTCGGTATACACATCAAATTGTTTCCCCTCCAGATAATGTTTCCATTTTTCCACCGGCCAGACCACTGCCAAACATTCTTTTTTGGAAGTTGACTAATTAAGCTCCACTCCGTGTAGAGTTTGAGATGCATAAGCTATTACTCTCTCCCCCTCAGGTGTCTGCTGGCAGAGAATGGCCCCCAGACCCACATCACTGGCATCGGTATGGACCTGGAACGGCTGATTGAGGTCAGGTTGGATTAAGACAGGTGGACTTTGAAGTGACAATTTGATGGCGTCGAAGCTGGCCTGGCATTCAAGGGTCCATTTCCACTTTACATCTTTCTTTTTCAGATTGTTGAGGGGAGTGGTGATATCTGCGAAATGATGTATGAATTTGTAATACCAGCCGGCTAAACCAAGAAAGCGTTGGAGTGTTTTGAAGTCTTTGGGTGGAGGATATTGAATGACAGCTTTGGTTTTTCCAGTGTGCACTTTGACTCCTCTACTCTAAAGAAGTGGCACATTTTCATGTTGAGGGTGAGCTTGGCCTGGGTGAGTCTTTGTAATATTATATTTAGATGTGATGTGTGTTCCGATAATGATCTGGAAAAGACAATTATATCGTCAATGTATACAAAGCAGAACTGTCTCCTAAGTTCTGCCAAAACCTTCTCCATCGGCCCCTGAATTCCTGAGCCCAAATGGAAGAGACCGGAATTGATATAGCCCCTTGGTGGTAATAAAAGCGGTCTTAGTCTTTTCTGCTCTCCTCCATCTCCACCTGCCAATAACCTGACTGGCGATCTAGGGTGCTGAACCATGCGGCTCCTTCCATAGACTCCAAGATGTCATGTACAAAAGGCATGGGGTAAGCGCCAGGCAATGTCTTGTTATTAAGTTTTCTGTAGTCTACACAAAATCTGTATGAGCCATCTGGTTTAGGAACCAGCACGACCGGTAATGCCCAAGGGGAACATGAGGGCTCGATGATGTAGTCTTTCAGCATTTTGTCCACATGTTCTTCAATAATCTTCTTCTTGAAGGAGGAAACCCAGTAAGCTCGAGATTTAATGGGCATTTCATCTGACAAAATAATTCTGTGTTTTTCATACAATCTGTCACAGCCTTCTCCAGCTTCTCCAGACTTTTCTGGAAGTATTCCTCCAACTCTTCCAAGCCAGCATCCACTGCCTGCCTGAAATTGGCCTCTCGATTTAAGGCACTTTCACTTGATTGTTTAAAATCATGTTCCCCAGCCTGTACCTTTGTGCTAAGGGCCAATAAATCCACCTTAAGTTTATCAATGTCTGCTTGCATTACTTGGATAACATTAGCATTGATCAAACAGTTAGTTGCTTCATCATCATCATCATCATCATCATCATCAGTTTTATCCTCAGTGTCAGAAATGTAAAAGGAACTTAGCATAGATGTTACTTCTGCTGTAGGATTATGTCGTGTTACAAACGGGCCTGCAGTAAAATCTACATCAGGCGTAGCACCAGTGTTACCCACATCATCCATATAATTTTCACCCTGATCATTAGGTGTCTGTACATTATTACCAACCATAGCAATCTGGGTATCAGAATCCATTTCCTCCATATTTACAGATATATAACACAACAAAACTCAATCAAAAACAGAACGTCCCCGTATGGGCCACCATTATGTAACATTCCGCATATTATGACGTGGAAAGTACAAAAACAATATGGGAGAGACACTCACTTTACCCAACAAAGGAAAAAGATATAAATCACAGACACACAAAATCCGTATCAAATACCCAGTGTATTATACAAATAGATCAAATATACATAAAGCACAAAAAATTAGTGTGTGATGAGTGTATGGTAATTGCCTTTGCATCCGTGAAAACTATATACAAGATTTGAATCAGTCTCACTGGGAGAAAGATCGTGAATGAACATCCTAGAGCAGATCCAAAGTAGTGACCGAAACTGTTAAACTCCTCCTTGGTAAGTAATCCAATGTCCAGAAAAATAAACGCACAAGAAAAACTCCACAAGAGAGGCGGCCGTACAATCCAAAAACAGTTCGGTAAGTATTCCACAA